TAGTAATAATTGATCCTAAAATGTAACCATAAATTTGTACTATATCAAATTAAGGCTAATAAAAACCAACTGGCATTTTCACCAAAGTTAAAAAAAAAAATATATATATATATATATATATATATATAAAGTTGATTTGTAAATAATAAATTTAGTATTATAAATAAAGGTTAAAATAGTTTTTAAAAGCAGTATACTTTGTTTGCTTTATTAAATAACAAGTCTCAATATATTACATTGTATATAATGAATACTAATATTATTACTGTTACAAATTTTATAAATCTTATAATCACTGTTGTTAATTTAAGTTCTTTATTATTTAACTTATTTTGTTTATTTTTGTTATTAATTACCTATTAGCCAAATTTAATATTCTCTTTTATAAAAATTATCTATTATATATTATATAAAATACTTAATTGTAAAGTAAATAATTCTCAATTTTTTAAACTTAACAACATCAATTATTTGATTTATAATTAAAAATTTTATATATAATAAATTAAAGGGTGTAATAACTTAGTAAAGTGAATAAGTTGTCAATCTTTTAAGCATTAGATAGTAAGTTCAAAACCTACCAATAGCAAAAATTTGAATAATCATCTATGTAATATATAGACAGTGTTATAGCAATGATATTTTGTTGATTAGTTAAAATAAAATATCTGTAACACAATTGTACTAGCATAACTGGCAAATCATAAGGCATTGGCACAATATTAAAGTTATACAAAGAAATGCAAACTAACATTCAGCAGTGCAAACCCAAAATAAGTTCTTGTAGCTGTGTAAATCTGTGAACTAAAAAGCTGAAGCCTACTTGTAAAAACCTGAGTAGAGAGATAGTACAAATCTTTGACAATATTACTGTAAAAGCTAGACCTAAGAAACAGATATCAATATAGAAGAAATCAGATAGACAAGAATCTCAGGTAAGGAATACCACTAACCAGGTTGCCAAAAGTTTTAAACTGAAGAAAAAAAACCTTGAAAGGCAGACCTTAAAATACCAGAAATAGGTTATAGTTCTTCTAAGCTATCTGAATTAAGAGTCTAAAGTCAAAAACAGAAGTAGTATAAAAAGAAAAGTTTTAGAACAGAAATTAGTTAAGTATCCAAAAAGGTTTCTAAACCCTTTATCAAACCTTTTTAGCCTATTTCTAATCACTATTGAATTTATGCTTTAAACCTTCTATGACTCAAATTTAGTTATAAATAGTCTTTTTGGTATTAGAATTTGGGTTTAAGACCCAAAAATGAATACATCTTGTATAGCCTTCTTGGCCTGATTTGATATGCAAATAAAATATTAAAAAAGTATGCTATCTTGCTTGCCCTTGCAATAGCCAAAAAACACCAAAGACATGAAGTGACTGAGTATGTTTTTTGTGTATCATTGCAAGCTCAAATTGCATACCAATTTTAATAATATTCTAGAATTAATTCTAAAACTGATTCATTATCAGCTAGCATAGTGCTAAATCTAACCTTGAAGAGGTTAGATTTAGTCAGACATGGTAGGCTTATAGGTTTGAGGTTAGACTTAACTTTTTATCAAATTACTATTATAAGAACTAAAGAATGGGTTCTTATATACTAATAATTTTTAATATTTAAGAATCTATTTTATAACCATTTCAAGCTTACAAATCTGAAACAAAAAATGATATCAAAAGATAAACTTATGGATTAGAGGTTAGACTTAAAATTAATTTATATATCAAAAGTTAGACTTAAAAGTAATCTTATATGTATCTAAAAGCTAGGATTAAATTTAAGAAGTTTTTTTTGCAAGCTTAAAAAACAATAAATACTAACTAATTCAAGGCTTCTTTAATGATTTATTACGAGAAGGCACAATCAAACTTCTGGGCCTTATTTCAAAGCTTGTTCACATATTGTATTATATAATACCTTCTAATATGATTACGACATCGATCACTTTTACCTTTAACTACTTTTTTATACTCAGGTTCAAAGCAAAATGTACACTTTTTATCTTTGAAATGTGAATAACAACCTTCAGAGCGAGTGCTTAGATTGCTACAAATCTTATCAGAATTATGAAGATAATAACAAATAAAATTCACTTTTTTTATCTATATATATAAAAACTTTTAATTAATCAATTTTATACATAATATAAAACAATAAGCAACCAAACTCAAAATATAAAAGATACTCAAGCCAAGCCCATATACAAAGAAGTTAAGCAAGCTTTAATTAATATATTTAAAGCAGGCCTATATTATAAAAAGCTAAAAGATAGCAAGTTCATACATTTTTTCTCACAAGCTTGAAAAAAAAATATATAGTTAGCTAATATTTGTATAACTATGTTAACTTTATATGTAACTTCAAGCAAGAATTGTGAGAAGGCAGGGATTTGGTCCAGGCAATATTTCCTAATAAAAAAAAATATATAAGCAAATTATAGATGATTACAAAACATAGTATAGAAAAAGATCCTTAGATTCTTAATGCTATTATAGAATTATATAGATTATACTATAAATTAGCAAAAGATTTATTTATTAGCAAAGAACAAGTTGATAAAAAGACAGAAGGCTTTTTATTATTTTTTTAATCTAATTATCAAGAACCTATTGGTGAGGAAATTCTGTATTAGAAAGAATGATTTGAAGCTCTTCTCTAACAAAATACCACTTTGGGCATTACCCTTATCATCTTCTAGTTAGTACAAGATCAGCTAATTTTTTTGTACCAAAGCTTCATGAATATGATAAACTTGTAGACTCCAATTATAGTCAGTTGCTCTTTTAGGACCTGTTTTAAGTTCATCAGGTTCAAGCAAATATCTAACTAAAGTACTATAATTTAATTTAGTTTTATTAAAGCCTATAGGCCTATTACATAATTTTGAAGGTGTTGCAATAACTTCTTTTATTTTTATAGCTTTAGTAGGGGTCATACCAATTAATCAAGTAACAGAATTATTAAGATTATTAATAATTATAAAAAGATTTTTAACCCAGTCTCTCAATCATTTAGATATGGATAACAATAAGTCAAAAGCATCCTGTAATCGAAACAATTTTTCAGCTAAAGTACAATTAAATCTTTCAACAATTTTTTGACTTTTATAAGATATACTAATCTTAATTTTAACATTATTTTTTTCTATTAATTCTTTATAATCTGATTTAAATTCTAAACTAGGATCGACCATTAATAATTTAGGCCAAATAAGAGGGCACTCAGAATTATTATAAACCTTTTTAAAGGCTTTAGCCATACTACTGAATGTTTTATCTGTTAAAGATATTGCCAATTTAAATCTTGAAGCAACGTCAACTATACATAAACAGTATTTATATATTTTGTTATTAATTATATTATGAAGTATATAAAAAATATCAGCTTGGTGGCATTTGTTAGAAACCTAAATATTATTAAAAGAGGCTCTAGGAATGAATTTTGGTTGAGGCTTGTGAATTTGATGCAAAGCTTGTCTGTTTAGCCAATTTTTAATCTCAATAAGAAAAAACCTATATTTGGCTTTCTTGCAAGCATCTAGCATTTTTTCAACGAGTTGATAATAGCTCTCAGATCAGTAATAGAGCTTCTGCAAAGTAAGATCCCAATCAAGATTACATGCTTTCTGAAGATCGATATAAATAACCAGTTTCCCCATTTCAATTCTCTTTTATAGATTTAGAATTTCTCAATCAATACTGCCTTCTCACAATATTTGTTCAAAGCCAGATATAGTTAGTTAACAGATTTTTAAAATATTAGTTAACTATATATCTTTTTTCGAGCTTGCGAAAAAAAATATAGAGGAATTACAGCAAAGTAATCAAGAACTTTATAAAGTAGTATCCCAATTAGCAGAATCAAATAGGAATTTTGAACAATAATTATATATCTTAGAAAGAGTTATTGATATATGGGAAGAAAGAATTCAATTTCTTGATAAAAAGTTAAATAATGCTATCGAACTTTCTAAACAAACAAAGAAGAATTAACAGAAGAAATTTCAAAATTAAAAAGAATTGTCTGATAGCTTGAAGAAGAAAATAAAAAGAAAGACAAAGAAATTTTCAATAAAGATAAATTAATATCAGAATTCGATAAATGTAAAACAAAATTAAGAACCTGAATATAAGAAATATAAAAATCAGCTGAAAATACCTTCAAAGCATAAAATTATACAACCAGATTAGTGGATGAAAATGAATGGCTTAAATGAGAAATTAATACAATAAGAACTAATTAAATAAATAGAATTAACAAAATAACTTAACAAAAAAACCATATTACAGACCTGCTTTGTCAAAATTTTGCATTATCATTATTAAGATACTGAGATAGATTAGAACTTATAAATACATAAGAGGCTTTACAAAATGCACAAGCATGAAATTACAATGAAAACAAATCTGATCCTGATAAAAATTCTCAAGATAATTATACTTTTGATTTAGATATAGCTACAATAGCTGAATTGGCCAATGCTATAGACTGATCTCTAGAAGATATAACAATATGTAGAACTATTTTAAAAAATTAAATTAAATGATCAACAAGATCAATATGACATAAATATACTAACCTGCAACAAGATCAGGTAAACAAACAATGGAATCATAATATATACAGGCAGAAGCAAGACCAGGCATTGCTTAAATTTTATCAGTTATGGACTAATGCTCAGAATTAAGTAAACAGAATGATAAATAATATAACAATAAAGCAAACTCGTATTGATGCATTGCTATATGAAAATTTTGCTTTTCAGTTATTGTATTAGTAAAAAGCCCTCCACCTACAATGATGTAGAGCTGATAAAGCTTTGCTAAAATATAATCAAGATAGGTTATATAAATGATATGAGAAGTGAAAAAATAAAACTTATGCAGAGTGCCAAAATATTTTAATTTTAAATCAACAAATTTTTGTGCTACAGAATAATTCACCTAATATATAATAAATAGGAATGGCAGGAATACTACAACTATTTTTTGACTAGGATAAAGATATATCAGATTTCTTTGCAAAACTCAGATTATACTTGCAAAACTAAGATGTAGATCTAGCAAATAATGTGAGAGGTCCACCAATAAGAAGAGAAGTAGCTATAGGATATTTAAGAGGATGTATGAAAGGAAGAGCTTTAGAATAGTTTGACAAAGAGATTACTACAAAACAGAATTAGGAATTAACAAACTTACTTGATAATACAGAGCAGGCCAACTTAGTAGCTATAAATAGGAGAACAGCACTTCAAATAGGAAATCAAGCATTGAATGAAGCACTCAGCTAACCTGGTAATGCAATAGTCAAATGAAGAGCTGTAAAGGGTCTTTGGAATGAAGATTGGTGTATAGCAGATAGTCATCCTCCTAACAATACTATTAATGCACTAAATGCTAATAATGATACTATAGTAGTTGTAGCTGACATTCATTTTGGTCAAGTCATATGATAGCTAAAAACACATTTTCCTATAATAGAAGAAGAGCTTCAGGATTTGCAATATAGAACAATTAGAAAAGGAAATATAACTATAAATAAATTATATAGAAAATTATTATGAATAGGTAGATGAGCTAACTATAGGCCTGAAGAATTACATAATAAGTTTTTAGATGCCCTTCCTATTTCATGGCTTGAAAAAGCTGAGAATATCAGTAAACATTTGCCATTAGATAAATTAGCTAAAAAGCTTTATGAAATAGAGTTACAATGAATTGCTAGACATAAAAAAGATAGAATATCTAATTTGCTAGTATCTCAATAAGAATCTCAAGAAATATATGACCCTTTACTTATTTCAACTTCTCAACAGATAGTAGATATACAAAAATTATATCAAAATGCATTAGCATAGCAAAAAACCAAATTCCAGTCTTTATTAGAAAAGCAGAAAGCTGATTTTCAAGCACAGATGGCCCAGCAAACAGTTTCTTAAAAAGCACAAGCACCAACTTTGCAAACTGTCAAACTGGTTAGACAGCCAAAAGGTCCTCCACCATTATTGCAATCAGAAGAAGATATTCAGAATTATTTTATATTTAAAATCTTAAATAAATTAGGTATAATAACTAAGAATGAAAGGAGTATGATAACCTAGTGAAGTGGATAGGTTGTCAACCTCCAAGTAGCAGGTCTAGAGTTCAAATCCTAGTGATGATGAAAATTTGCAATTCTTTCTGTGTTATGGCTAACTGTCTTTCATAATTAGTTAAGATAGAATACTTGTAACCTGTGTTATATCAGCCTGACTGGAAGGTCTAAGGCACTTGTACAACATTGTATGAGGGAACACAAATCGGTACTGGGCAGTGTGAACCCAAGATAAGTCCTTAGGCCATGTAAATCAAGAGAACCAGGTAGGAAGATGGAAGCCCACTTGGAAGAC